GCGCCAACAGAATACCACCACTTACACAAACGCACACGATGCACAGTCCTACACGTACACAAAAGGACGCACACATAAACGGCCCGTGGCGCGCGCACCACACACACACACCACACACACACACAACCACACACACACAACACACACACACACACACCACACACACCCACACCACAACACACACACCAGGAAAGACACCGNCGGCATATATCACCTTTCGCCAGGCAGCCAACCGAAGCCTTCAGTCGTGTGCTATATAACGGAAAAAAATGGGCGACCGGGGAAGGGGTGGGTGGAGGGGGGGGATGAGGGAAGGAGAGGAGAGAAAATGGAAAAAAAGATGGGGGGAGGAGGGAAAAAAGGGAAAAAAAACAAGAGTCTATCAATTTTCCTTGCGTCGGGACCTAATTGATTTAGTGAGCCTTGGGGAAGGAGGCGGGGATGGTGGGGGGAGGGGGCGAGGGAAAGGGGAGGAGGATGAGTTGGTGAGTGGGTGATGTGTTGGAGGAGAGGGGGGTGATGAGTGGGTTGGTGTTGGTGGGGGGTGAGGAGGAGTAGGTGTGTTTAGTGGGGTGGGTGGGGTGAGGATTTGGTTGGTTGGGGCTGGGGTGGGTGTGAGTGGAGTGGGCGGGTGGTTGGCTGGTGGGTGAGTGGGTGAGGATTCGGGTGGTTGGTGGGTAATGAATGGGTTGGCTGGTTGGTGAGTGGGTGAGGATTTGTTTGGTTGTTAAGTGAGTGGGTTGGTGGGTCATGATTTTATAGCTTGGTGGGCGGATGAAAGACTGTTTATATGGAGTGGGTTAATGGATGAGTAAGTGATGAGTTGGTGAGCGAGAAGGATGTGTTGGGTGGACAGGAGAGGTATGGCGGGTGAGTGGTGAGTAGGGTGAATCGAAGTGATGATGAGGATGAGAGGTCGTGAAAGGGTGCGGTGAGCGGATGAGTAAATCGGTGTCAGTGCTTGTGGTGAGTGATGAGTGGGCGGTCTAAGGTACAGTGTGCAGGTGGGGTGGTGCAGATGTGGTGATGAGAGAGGTGGGTGGAGACCGGGGGTGTTACTTCCCACACCTTCCTCTTTGTCAGTTTTTTTTAATCTTTTTTATCTTTGTCTTTTTCTCATATATATATTTTTTTACCGTGAGTTTATTTATTTATTTGTTTACTTATATATTTTAGTTTATTTCTTTACTGTACGTATCCTCCTCCACATCCGTGCATCTCTATCATATTTTTTCCCCCTTTTTCTGTTTTTCCCCATTTTTTCTTTCTTTCTATTTTCAATCTTTTTGTGTGGTTCTCTCTCTCTCTCTCTCTCTCTCTCTCTCTCTCTCTCTTCTCTCTCTTCCCTCTCTCTCTCTCTCTCTCTCTCTCTCTCTCTCTCTCTCTCTCTCTCTCTCTCTCTCTCTCTCTCTCTCTCTCTCTCTCTCTCTCTCTTCTCTCTTCTCTCTCTCCTCTCTCTCTTCTCTCTCTTTCTCTTTCTTTCTCTCTCCCCTCTCTCTCTCTCCCCCTCTCTCTCTCCTTCTCTCTCTCTCTCTCTCTCTCTCCCCTCTCTCTCTCTCTCTCCCCCCCTCTCTCTCTCTCTCCCCTCTCTCTCTCTCTCCACTCTCTTCTCTCTCCCGCCCTCTCCTCTCCTCTCTCTCTCATCCCCTCTCTCTCTCTCTCTCACCCCCCCCTCTCTCTCTCTCTCTCCCCCTCTCCTCTCTCCTCTCTCTCTCCTCTCTCTTGTCTCTCTCTCCTCTCTCTCTCTCTCCTCTCTCTCTCTCTCTCTCTCCCTCTCTCTCTCTCTCTCTTCTCTCTCTCTCTCTCTCTCTCTCTCTATCTCTCTCTCCCTCTCTCTCTCTCCTAGTACCGAATGGCTAACTCAGCACCCCATCCCCTCAGTGTCATGGGTCAGGGTCAGTGCCAGCGCCGGAAAAGGGTTAGGGAAACAGTGCCAGGAGGAGGAAGGAAGGGCCAGGGGGTCGTGCCAGAGAGGACGCTCGGGTTTGCTGCCTCGGGGATTAGGAGAAAATGAGGGAAAAAGGAATGAGAAGGGAGGAAGAGTGAGGGACAACAGGGTAGTGAGAAGGGAAAGAAGAGAGTATGAGAGTGGAGTAGATAAATATAGGAAGGTTAGAATGAGGGAAAGAAAGGAAAATAGGAAAATGAGGGGAAAAAAAGGAGTGAGGGAGGGGAGGAAGAGTGGAGGTAAAGATAGAAATAGGGAAGGTAGGAATGGGAGGTTAAAAGAAGGAAAATAAAATGAGGGGAAAGGAGTGAGGGAGGAAGAAGAGTGAGGGACAACAGGTCGTAGGAAAGGAGAGTGAGATAGGAAGAGAAGAGATTATTAGAATGGAGGTAGAGAATAAAGATAGGAAAGTAGAAATGGGAGGTGAAAGAAGGAAAATAGGAAAAATGAGGAAAAAAGGAGTGAGGGAGGGGAGAAGAGTGGAGGTAAAGAATAGAAATAGGAAGATAGGAATGGGAGGTAAAAGAAGGAAAATTGGAAAATGAGGGAAAAAGGAGTGAGGGAGGGGAGGAAGAGTGAGGGACAACAGGTCGTAGGAAAGGAGAGTGAGATAGGAAGATTATTAGAATGGAGGTAGAGAATAAAGATAGGAAAGTAGAAATGGGAGGTGAAAGAAGGAAAATAGGAAAATTAGGAAAAAAGGAATGAGGAAGGGGAGGAAGAGTGAGGGACAACAGGTCGTAGGAAAGAAGTGAGATTGCGAGAGGAAAGATTATTAGACTAGAGGTAGAAAATAAATATTTGAAGGTAAAAAAAGGAAAATGGGAAAATGAGAGAGGGGAGGAAGAGTGATATAGGAAGAGAAAAGATTATTAGATTGGAGGTAAAGAATAAAATGGGAAGGTAGAAACGGGAGGTAAAAGAAGGAAAATAGGAAAATAAGGGAAAAAAAGAAATAAGAATGGGGAGAAGAGTGAGGAACAACAGGTCGTAGGAAAGAAGAAGAATGAGATAGGGAGAGAAAAGATGATGAGACTGGAGGTAAAGGATAGAAATGGGAAGGTAGGAATAAGAGGTAAAAGAAGGATAATAGGAAAATGGGGTCAGAACAAATGGAGAAGGGGAGAAAAGTGAGGAACAACAAGTCGTAGGAAAAAGAAATGAGAGTGAAATGTGGAGATAACAACATGAGGTAAAATGTTATTAGATTTAAGGGAAGAAAGGAAAATAAGAAAATGGGATTAGGGGGCAAAAGAAAAGATAAAGATGATAGATAAAGATAAAATTTAAAAAAGAAAAAAATAGCTACAGAGATTCCAATAAAGTAAATTGAGGGAATTGATAAAGGTAGACTAAGAACAGAACAAAGGAAGAGGGATAAAGATTATAAAATGATAAAGTTTTATGAAAACGAAGACAACTGAAACAAGGAAAAGAAATGGGAAAATGAATATTAGACCCCCCAAAATACAATATAATAAAAGTAATATGAGTAAATTGAGGTGCGAGAAGGTTAAGAAAAAAAAGAAACAGGTTGCAGGAAAGAGAATGAAAAAAATGATGATGAAAGTAAAGTAACCCAGAGGTAAAATACAATAAAGATGAAAGGATGAAAGAAAACAAAGAAAAGGAACGAGAGAGAGAGAGAGAGAGATAAAAAGGAGAAACAACAAAGGGATTCAAGATCAGAAACACTAAAAGCAAAGAAAAAACGGCGGATATAGAAGGATTAAGGAAAGAGGGAGAAAAGGAACGAAAGAGGATTACGGAAGAGAAAAATAAGAAAAATAAGAAAAACAGGGCTTATAAAAGGACGAAGAAGAAATAGAGCCGAAGGGTAAAATAGAGTCAAAATAGAGTTATGTTCATGATATACGGTAGAGTATTATGAGATGAAAGTATATATAGTGAGGGTAGGAAACGCAAAAAAAAAAAAAAAAGAAAAAAAAAAAAAAAGAAAGAAGGATTAAAGAGAAAGAAGAATTAAAGCAGAGTAAGGGATAGAAACAACAAAGGGTAATAACAATGGTTGCTGAGAATTAAGTAGGGCAGACACACACACACACACACACGCACACACGCACACACGCACAACACGCAACACACACGCAACACACACATACACACACACACACACACACACACTACACACACACACCACACAACACATCAACACAATAATTACACACACAACACACACACACACACACAACACACACAACACACACAACAATACACAAATCACACACATAATCACATAACACACACAGAGCGACGAGAGAGAGAAGAAAGATTGAGAGAAGAGAGAGAGAGAGAGAGAGAGAGAGAAGATGAGGAGAGGAGAGAGAGAGAGATAGAAGAGAGAGGACGCACCACACACACACACCACACACACACACACCACAACAAACACACACACCCACGACAGCACACACATAAACATTATTAGTTCACACACACACCACACACATAACAGAGAAAGAGAGAACGCAAAAAAGGAGAAGCGGTTAGAGAGCAAAAAGGCCCCCCGCCCGACGGTTCCCCCGAGGGAAAAATGCGGGATGAACTCGGGTCTTTAACGCGGGGAAGACGCACGGAGGACGTAAAGTGTCCGCCGTAAGCAATGGAGGGGCCGTTTTGCGCGCTAATGGCTCATCCCGGATGTTTGTTTACAAAGTTGGTGCATAAGATTCAATTTGTATTGATTAGGGTCTCTGCATTGTGTGTTTATTTCGTTATCGTTTTTTTTATTTTTCTTTATCTTTCTTTTCTTTTCTTCTTTTTCCACTGGGTTTATATTTTTTCTTTTTTTGTGTTTTCTCTCTTTATCACTCTCTCTCATCTCTCTCTCACTCTCTATATCTCTCTTCTCTCTCTCTCTCTCTCTCTCTCTTCTCTCTCTCCCAGTCAACAGACAGAATGAGCCTTCACACCCTCAGCGGTACAGCAAGCATTACACGGCGGAAGACCGCAATAACCACCAAGATCGACCGCGGTCACGCAGCGGATTCAGCTGCGGCCGCTGTCCTCGGCCGTCCAGCCAACTCGCCGG